GATACTAGTTATCAAATCATAGAGCTGTGTTCTCTGTATATTTCCTCCCCGCTAGTTTTAACGTCCAGGACACGCTAGTGTCTGCTGAGCACTCCGAGCTATTGCGCAGGCGCGGAAACCCGGAGTTATGCGCGATATGATGTACGATCACGTGGCCACACAAGGTATATTAGCTAAACACGAAGTATTTATTGCTGGACTCTCTCTGTTCCATTTGCATAATTTCCGTATTGAGATAATAGCGGAGGTAGTAATGCACTGCTATTACGTCATATCCTACCGATATATTAGGCAGCGTGCAAGAGCGGCATAACGTGTGATATTCGAGACCGGCCGATACGAGGTGTGTGCGTGACGTATAAAACGGGTTTTGGATTTGATGATGGAATTTATTGGACCTTTATACAACTTGTTACAACATTTCACGGATCACTATCTTCGACTGGACACACTCGACTTCTGACCCCACTACGCTGATCCAGCATTCCAACTGTCTACTAAAGTGAACTGCTGGAGATGGAGTCACTCACTGCTAAATAGCCTCGTGGCTGACCTCACGGAAAACACTGCATTGCCTAGCAACGGGTTTACCAGGAATCTGTCTCTTCGGGAACGTTTTCTTTACGAGCCGTTGCCTAGCAGTGGACATGTGTCACATGTTAGTGAGTTTATAGGCGCGTCAGCGTATATGGGCGTAGGCGCTGGAATAGAATTGAGGTTAAATCATCTTATTAAAGCAAAGATAAAATGAAATTAATTAAAATCTGTCAGACTGTAAATTTTGTCGACTGACGGTGGTTTCAATGCATGTAATAAAACAACTATAAATGTTGTAGTAAGGCGGCCTGCACATGGGCCAGTTGTTAAAACAGTTTCTCCACGGGGAGAAATGAAGCCAACTCAACAATCTCGTCTGCCCATGCACAACGAAGGAACGCGACACTGCAAGGCGATCGGCTCAGGTGTTGCGCGTTGTGCCGGCAAGGCGCAACAAACTGTAAGATGGGCACATAAAACAAAAAAAAAACACTTCATGGCCTGTAGTCCGCAATCGAACTATGCCTACCGAGAGACCGCCGCTTGTCGGCGAAGTTAGTGCCAACTTTAGCGGATAGAGGGTGTCGCGTGGTCAGATCCCCACGGTCGTTAATCTCGATTTTCTAGACCGGAGCCGCTACTTCCTTGAAATAGCTCCTCAGTTATCCTCACTAGGCTGAGTGGACCCCGTTCCAGACCCTCTACTTCTCAGAAAAAATCTGGTAGCGCAGCGAATCGAACCCGGGACCTCTGGATCTGTAGCCAGGAACTCTGACCACTAGTTGGGCACATACCGGACCTAAATTTGATTACAGTAATAATATGTGGTGAAGGTGACAGCTTTGGGTACGAGACGCGGTGTCTAACGCAGAAGGAAGAAACTGAGGAGCCACGGAAAACGACAGACGTAATGAGGAGCGTCATAAGTTGCAGTCTTCTCCAAGTGTAATTAGAATGATCAAGTCAGGAAGGATGAGATGGGCAGGGCATGTAGCACGAATTGGGTAGAAGAGGAATGCATATAGGATATTGGTGGGAACGCCAGAAGCAAACAGACCACTAGGAAGACCAAGGTATAGGTGGGTGGACGATATTAATTAAAATGGATCTTAGAGAGATAGGATGGGATTGTATGGATTGGATTGATCTGGCTCAGGATAGGGACCAGTGTAAGGCTCTTCTGAACATTGTAATGAACCCTCGGGTTCCATAAAATGCTGGTATGTTCCTGAATAGCTGCACATCTGGCGGCTTCTCAAGGAGAGCTAGGCTCTGTGAAGTTAATTAATTAGTGGATTGGATTTTCTTCAACATTCGGTTCCACAAAAGGTTGGAAAATTTTTAATAGGACACACTGTCAGCTTTTCGGGAATGACTGTGTTCCATGGGGTGAGTGAGTGAGTCAGGAGTCTGTAAACCAACGGAGGCGCCTCATTGTGCAGTATCAGGGTAGAATCTCATCCAGTCCGATCTAGTTTCGGAGACGAAACATGCGGACGAACAGACAGATAAAAAGACCCAATCTCCCCATTAGACTGACTTTACATTTAATGCATATAATGTTGAGTAAACCTGTATGCGTATGCCCTAGACTGTTACCGTATGCTCCCACCAACATTTCGGAAGAACCACAGTGACTCAAGCTATGAATGTTGCCCTCAAGTTTCTGGAGTACAGAAATTCTTTTTCCCACATTGGTACTTCCCCTTGTTAAAATATTGTATCATGATCATTTACTCGTTATTATGAATATCTAACCAAAGGGTTTAACAAATAAGAAACATCAAGTTCACTTACAAAGAACTGTAGCCTACAGCGAATACTCAGGCACTGGAAGACGCAAGAATGACTCATCGTTCGCAGCAGACAGGGCCACGAACACACGTGTAACCCTGCAACAATTACTCGAACTAAACTAAATCTCTCCACTGACTGCAACTTCTAACTTGTCCTGCTTATAACGTCTCGGCATGAACCGCACAGAAAACACCGTTCCTCTGTTGCAGTGCAGTTGCTGCCACGGAAGAATGCTTGTTTGCGGAATCATTAGTTAGTAACGGCTGTTGCGCTGTTGCTTATTTGGCGGTCGGTGCCTAGCAACGGGTCAACGTGCCAAAGTATTCTAAATAATGCAGCGTGAAGGGCTCGAGCACTGCATGAGGTTTATCGTGGTTTTCATCAAACCCACAACCCATCCCTTCCAATTCGTTACTTATTAATTATGCTGATACTGGACGCAGCAGTGCGACGTTAAACAAAGTGTACTCTTGTTGCGCCTGCAGCTCAGTTCCTGGTTCCTGGATTGTAATGCCACGTGTTTCGGAGGAACTTACCGCCTTTGTCATCAAAGTCGAAGAATTAAACCAGCAGAAACAGGCGGGGCAAGCTTAACTCGTCATAATTCTTGTCAGCTTGTCGCCTGGTAGTGCCGGCTTCTTTTTGCTTACTCTTCGAACCTGAAGGTGGAAGCGGTCTTCCTGCCAAGTTTACAGACCGGGTGACGGTGCACTTGATACCAACCGCCGTGAGAACGTAAGTTAGTACAGAATCTGACATGTAGTCCTATTAATGCGTCTCTTCTAAGTTACAAAGCGAACGGCAGATGTAACAGCGAAATTTGAGGGAGTGTAGAATTTTGTTGCTTCTACGGCAGGCCAGTCCACTTACTTACGCTGTTTGTTATTCAGTGTAACATTTCTGTCAGCGGGTGTGATATATTGATGTTTAGAGGAGAGAATAACATTTCACATGAAGGGTTTTAGTGTCATTTGAGGGAAGCATTATATGGTTTTGTGTGCGCTTGCGCTTAGCGCCTTCAGCCTTGATGTTTGTTGCCTCTACTTCATGACGGGGCTTGACAGCTGAAGGGTTAAAATGCTAACAAATCATGACACACGCGGATAATTACAGTTGTTGTCGTCAAGATCTGTAATATCGCGCACCTTTGTACTCGAGGAATGTTCTTGTTACAAACTACATGTCCGAGCTATAAAACGAACGCGGAAAAGCATATATCAAAACGCACTAGAAAAATTCCCACCGGTGTTTTTGTAAATTGATTAAGCCTGTTTCCTCTCTGTTTATACATCCTTATTAACGGCCCATGATTTTGTGAAAAGGTCCAGTTATTACCTTAAATAAAGCGGGCTTCTTTATCGAACATTGTGGCTGAAATTCGAAATTGTTCTCAAGATTTATCTTGTCGAATGTAAACAGAAAAAAAAACTCTTCACTGGTTTATGTGCTGGGACTAGTTCGCAGACGGAGTGGCAGACGGAGTGGCATGATCTTCTGCAGAGTTTAGCCAGGACTTCCAGTGTAAATTGTACCAAAATCCTGCTGAACTCGAGGTACCCGATTGCAGCCAAAGAGATCCTTCTGAATTCACTCTTCGTTCCAAGTTTTGTTTGAGACATTTTTGCTAGAATGAGTATTTAAAATCTTGGGGCACGCGGTAGCGTAGTTGAGGCACTGTGCTACAAGCCGGAATGTCACGGATTCGATTCCCGCTGAGGTCATTGGGGGTATCAGTTGACTTAATCTTTCCAGCCGCATTATGGCCCTGTGATCGACTCAGTCTCTAATAGAAATGAAAACCAGGAATCTTCCTGGGGGAAAATGGCGGCCAGCGCATAAGACTGACAGATTTACTGCCATCTGTGAGCCGATTGTCAAGAAAATGTGGGAGCCTCGACGTCTCTGGCCTGTTACAGGGATAACCTTATCTTCAGTATTTAAAAACTTACGCCTCAAGTAGCGGTCGCAACATGCATAGGTCTTCTTTTCAGTTATTTTTGTCTTATTTCAACCAAAAGTGAATTTGTTCGGCATCTTTCAAGTGTAATCTCCAACATCGAATTTTAAGAGAATTTTGAGGAACGGATTAAAACTGGGTTAGCAGGAGATGCATGCTTGTGGCCTGCATATAAGGCGTCCTTTTTATGTTGTAAAGAACTGATAAGAATGACTTCAGGAAGAGCAACGGAAATCCACCCGGATTAACGAAGGATTACTGCATATGGAGCTTTCACTTCAGGTTACAGAGCCGTGGCTCAGTCGCCCGTATCTCGTTCAGGCCAAGTAGCAGCGGCACACGATGATTGAGCGGTGTGTACGTTATGCTTTGTTTTGCGATGCAGGCAGTGGCGGAGCTGTGTAGCCTCTATTGGTAGGGCAATATAATAACAGTGAATTAGAAATGGTTTGAAAGGAAGCGGTAGTGGCCTATTAGAGGTATTTTACTGGAATTTAATGGGGGGGGGGGGGAAAGCTGTGTTGATCTTGGTGAGTTTAGTTGGTGCTACGTCCGAAATTCGAAATAACATCTTTATACAAGTCCAGAGCGTTGACGCTAAGTACAGTTCGATCTCTTTGTATAAAATGAGTATTGCGATGTTGCCATGACTCTGTAGCCTGTTACTCGTTTATGCAGGGTCCTAACCGTTTGTTGTGCACTGTTGCAGCGCGCACCCTACCAAACGGCGGGTGGTAAGAAAGCTGCTGGCTGAGGGGCGTCTGGAGATCATGACGGGTGGCTGGGTTATGACGGACGAAGCTACCACGCACATCTACGGCATGCTGGACCAGCTCATAGAAGGTGAGAACTACAATTTACATGTTGTTGGGAACTTGCTCGATGGAAAGTGGCCCGAACATAACATTAAACCTTGAAGCCAGAAATTAACCTTAACACTATTAAAAAATTTACTTCCTGCCTCATAGAGAACACACTGCGCCTGTATTACGAAGACTAGTCGGTTAATGCTGTTTATGGAAATAAGCATACTTTATTCTAACAGTTATACGAATCGAGAATGATGCTAAAACTTATGGTACAAATAGTAACGAGCCTGCTTTGTAAAGAGTAATTATCCAGAATGTGCCATAAACACCAGGCGGTTTTTTTTAAGTGAAATAACTTGTCAAAGCCAAGCGAGCAAATTTACTGGCACAGATATTCCATGCATTTCCATCGATAATTTGTTTTAAGCATTGTTGCTCGAATACAACACCTTCAGGGCGATCTTGTTGTTCAACACACTCCGGGAGTTGAGATGACATGAATGCCGTAAAGCGTTGTAGGATTTCATGAGGGTTTTCCTGAATGCGCTCCCGAATTCGCTGTTTGGACTCATCAGTACTGCTAGGCCGTGTCTTGACATAATCACGAAGAAAGCCGATCAGACGAGCGGCCGGGGCCGGTTGATGTTCCCGAAACGAGGAATGTGTAAGATCTAAGGTGTCCACGGCGGTGACTACGAAGAATGCCGCCTTCTTGGATGTGGCTTGTAGATCTTGTGTGAACTAAAGTTTAGGAGGGACGTATCGCCTCCATCTTCAGGCAGAGAAATCCGCTAATGAGGAACCAGCATGAGAAGGTGGCTGCAGACTGATCCATCAGTCGAAAATACCCAGCTATATAAGAACAGAAAAGGAGAGAGAGTGGGCCACATGGGAAGTCAGCAGAGAGGTGAGGGCAAGGGTCTGTGCAGAGGGACCAGCAGGTGTCATGCCAGAACCGGCATAGGATCTGTCGCAGGGGAAAAGAGACAGGGAAGCCGAGCGTGCGTTGACCCTGTAGCCTCGGGGCCTGGAAACATCTCCCTGATAACTGCCATGGGAATCCGTGCTGAGTGAGCAGTTGTCGCGTCTGATTGGAACCACAGAGAAATTCAGCTGACGGAGATTTGACTCGTTTCGTAGAAATATTTAGCAGAATGGCCGTGTACCGCTCAGCTTAGTCTGTTAGCAGTTCGTACCACCTTGTCCTCAAAGAAATAGGGATCAGTAATGTCACCAGAAGAAATTGCACACCACGCTGTCATTTTCGCATTATACAGAGGGCACTGGTGGAGTTCACGCGGGTTGTTTTTGCCCCAAAACTGACAATTTTGTTCATTCACAGAATATGACACTTGGAACTGAGTCACATCTGCCGTGAGTTCACAGTGTCGCGATTGTTGTTGATCAAGTCCGAGAACCGATTCCAAACTGAAATCGATTCGCCTGCTCACTAAGTTCCTAGGTAGCTTGGATTTTGTGGGGATTGTAACGCAAATGTTTTTTGCGCAATGTCCGGAACGCTATACTGTCTTTACACCAAGTGCAAGAACTTATCGCCGAGCTGACTTGCGGCTACTTCTCTCACTCTCTCCGCATTGTCTGGTGTACGCACTGAAAGCGGACGTCCTTGGCCTTCTGTGTACTACATAATCCTTCATGATGTTATTCTGATAGTAGGCTATTGCGGCTCTGTGCGTCGCGTGCTTGAAACCACGCAATGTAGCTGTAATTGTCTCCGTTCTGCGGTCACAACGTAGTGTTGCACTGACCTAGCGCTCTATCTCATCTAAACGCCGAAGAGCAGTCAACACGACGAGTGTTGGTATGGGAGCGCCGCAAGGGGAAAAGTGGTTGTTGCAGTCCCAAAACCGTCAGGGATTTCTCACGCATTCTGTATATATGTACACCCGTCATACACCCATGCTGCAGCTCAAGTTGTAACGCTTGTGTTCGGTGGGTGTCCATTTCGAATCTTGGCCAGGCACGGACTCTCCCACTGAGATCTTTCGTGGTTATCCTCAGTGAGCCCTACCAGGCCATGGAGGCCCATAGGGATGTGAGACGTCGAGGCTCCCACATATTCTAGATATTCGGGTCAAAGATGGCGGTGAGGTTGTCAGCCTTACGCGCCGGCCGCCCTTTACCCCCTAGGAAGATTCCATGTACTCATTTCTGCTAGAGGCCGAGTCGACCCCAGGGTCATTATTATTATTATTATTATTATTATTATTATTAGAGGGGGTGGGTTTCCCCATGCACTTAGACCAGTTATTGGTCCATTGTGCGTTCCCTTTAATTTCTACTGTCTACCGGTACTGGGGCGTGCTATCAGACCCGTTCAGCCAACGAGGTCGGCCGTCGGTACCTGATACTTCCCCCATCTACCAGAGGCATTGGAAACTACTTCGGCGGGAAATTGTTGCCTAATTTTGCTCAGAGGTCTCCTAGAGACATGAGGATCTTTTACGTGCCGTAAATCTGCGACACGGGACCCACGGCTTAAAGTCCCTCCCGGAAGACTTGTTCCCTGAATTTTTCCACCCTTAAAAATTCCACGACCTCCGCCAGGTTTGAACCCTCGTACCTTGAGTCACGTTACCCTAGACTACTGAGGCCGGAAGGATTAGGTAAATTGAAAATTCCAGTGACGTCAGGAGTGGGACACACGACCTTTTGGTTTCTAGCGCCTCAACCACCTACACTACCGCCTGCCCCAAACGGGTTCACGTGATTTGTTTACATTCGATTGCGGATCGCTGTGCTCTTGAAGTGTTTCGTCCAGAACAGTTTCGGGTTTCTTCAGATTCATATACCGGCCGCTAGGAAGCTTAATAATCTGCAAAGAACGCCTCTGAAAAGTTGCATAATGCATTACGGAGCGCACTACGTCTGGTCTTGCTGATATAAGCTGTTAATCGCTGGCTTCCCACCGCGGCGGCCCGGGTTCGGTCCCGGGTCTGGTCAAGTGGGATTTGTGGTGGACAAAGTGGCGCTGGGATTGGTTTTCTCCGAGTACTTCGGTTTCCCCTGCCAATCTTCATTCCACCAAATTCTCCATCATCATAATCACCCGGGGCAGGCTACAATAGGCCAATCAGTGGCCGCCGTGCGGAGTGGACCCAGTTGGATTCCAGCCCCCAGTAAGCGAATTTAAAAAATAAATAAATTTTAAACGCTGCGTAGAAGCATAAAATAATCCTATGTATGAACAGATTTTTGTAAACATGAGGCTTATCATTGTCATTTTGCAGCTTCGGGCTGCGTTAACACGTTTCATGAAGGTAAGTTATGTAATAGGCCACGAACGAGCGAGTAGTCTTGTTTTATTTCATAACTGTGATGTGCGTATAAGCCTATATGTGCAGTGTAGCATACTGTATGAAAGACTGTTTGCTAGTGACTGTTTTGCAGGTTATTTGTGGGAGATGGCGGTAAACGTCGGCCTCGACGTATCTGTCGGTAACATATAGGTACGTCCGAGAAAGCATATGTAACGAATGGTGGCACTTCCCGTTGAATTATCAACGTGTGTTACACAGGTTTTGTTTGTATTTCTATAAATATGCAGCGAATATGCATAGAGTAAAGTGAGTTTCTGCTTAAATGCCACGCCGTGAAGGACCATACGGGTGCAGAAGTGAAGCGCTTGGCAGTAGGTGGAGATGCGTGGTCAGCTTCACGCTACAACTGCTTTTACTCCTGGAGAAACAAGCTACATTATGCTGTGAAATGAATTGTACCTATGAAGAGCCCATTTTGTAGAATTCGGGTGTAGCTTTATGTAGAATGAGGACTATGAGGGCCATGTGTTGGCCAAAACGAAGTCTGACAGTTTTGACAATTGCCAGTTCGGAATTAACCCTTTGCGTGTTTCTGAACAATACGCGCATTCATTGTATTGTTCATTTATTCTTTGGTTTTTCTGTAGTTAATGCAGTAGCACCGTCCATTGTTCATTCTCCATTTCCTGGACCATTATTCGTCCACTTATACGCTTTTGCACTTAATTCATAATGTACCATAAATTGATAATACGTGTCGTTATTGCAGAATGACTTTTTTGGAACGAATGCGTAACGTATGCGTCCTTACACTTGTTTCTGCATTTGTTGTACACAACGTCTCTCCATTACGCCGTCAGTGGTGGTGATTATGCACCAAACTCACCGTGCGTTCACTCGTGCAGGTTTCGCACTGAATGCTACATCAGGAACACAGATGATTTCAAATCATTTTTCAAAAAGGGGCACGCGGTAGCGTAGTTGATTGAGGCACTATGCTACAAGCCGGAAGGTCGCGGTTTTGAATTTTGTTTTAAATTGACCTAATCCTTCCAACCGGACTGTGGCCCTGGGGTCGACTGAGCCTGTAACAGAAATGAGTACCATGAATCTTCCTGGGGGTAAAGGGCGGCCGGCGCGTAATGCTGGCCACCTCACCGCCTTCTGTGAGCCGATTGTCTAGAGAAAATGTGAGAGCCTCGACGTCTCACAACCGTATGGGTCTTCACGGCCTATTACAGGGATAGCTCTGCCTTTTACCTTAACTCTGTTCATTGTGGCCGGCACAGCAGTAAACTAAATTAGCGAATAATTAATAACACCGTCCAGCGTGATTAAATTTGTAGATGTTTCTGTCAGCTGACCGTCTTCAGAAGGCATAAGATTGTTTCCTTTTTGTTGTTTTGAGGCACTGTTCTGTTATATGCTGTGTGGCATATTTACACCCATTTCCCTGTGACGCTCCTATGGGCCTGCTCCCGTGTCATGTCGCAATACTGTTTCTGGTTGTCTTTTTGTTTTGTGCTCTTATACTCTTCTGTTAATTCATTAAGTTGTTTAAATTGATAAATGTGGTAATTCCCTTTATATTCATGATATAGCCTTTTCTAGCACATTCGAACATTTCCGTTGCCCAATATGTGCTGGGCAGAGGCCGAGCTCTTCTCTGTTAAACCTTATGTTTCCTGTATGCTCTTTGTATCATGTTGTTAAGGTTGTGCCCGATCATGTGTTTTCGTTGTGCTAGTATTAC